CAGAAGAGCTGACCGTTTGGCCATGGTAGATGAATTTGGTGTCTGGGTATCGGGAGCACAGTCGAATCGGGTCGACAATTCCTCTGCGCTTCAAGATGACCTCGGGCGTCTCTCGGAGCGTCTCAAAGAGGTCCTCGTCGTGTCTCTTGGCCGTGAGCCAGTTCCCAAGTCTCCGTCCATGGCTGTAGATAAGCGCAATATCTGAAATTGAGACCCCGAGTTGGATCAGGCTCTCTGGTCCAAGGTTGGCGGCTAGCGACATAACTCAGTTGTTGCTTTGTCCGTCGTGATGCGGCTTTTTGGCTGATGCAGGTGGTCTTGAGGAGAACCTGTGAATGGGCGAAGCAGGAGTCCGCCTTCCATTCTGCACTTTCCGTTGTTGTTCGCGCACTTGGCAGTTTATGAGGCCTCTGTTGCCTTCTATGCAGCAGAAGCTTGACCGTGTGATTGGGCGCAGTGATCTTGGAAATTCCAATTCCCTATCAAAGCAACCCATCCCGACACAGGCCATTTCTTCAACAACGAGTGAAGACTGGATTTGGTATGGCCGGGATGTTACTCTCAGCGAACCAGACGACTTACATAAGCCGGGACACGTACTGTTGCCAAGCTGGCCGTGCAAGTCGCTAACAGGAATCTATTCTCCCTTTTCCGTCCAATTTCTATCTCGAACAATAAGAACGAACAAATTGTAAAGAGTACTTGGAAAGAAGCGTTCAATGAAGGAAGTGGGGCTGTGGTAACATATTTGAGCGAGCTTGAAGGAAAGCCAGTTCAAAATGGAGGTGCTCCGTGGTAAGCGGGACGTCCCATGTTGTACCTGAACGGCAAAGTTAAAGTTGGTTTCAAGTGTGGTAATGATCTTGTTTTGGTACAGGCGACTTACAAAGTATAATGAGGTGATCATGTGCTCCGGTGAGAATTCCGGCCGGTATGCAGCGTCTGGTCATCCGCAAACTCAATTATGTCGGCGTCACCGACTATCCACTTTATCGGAGTGATAAGACGGGCGATTGAAAGTATAAGAGAAAGCTTCGCCATGGGGGTGTTGAAATGCAATTCTCTTCCCGGGACCCAAGCCATCGACTTGTTGCCGAAATTGATCAAGTCTCCTCCGTGACGTCCTGAAATCAAGGTGATAGACTGAACGCAGTCCCAACCTAAAAATGGCAAACGATTCTCGACGACCGAAAGAGTTATGTCCAGTCCAAGGCACACGGATACCGAAGCCCCGGCTCCCAGTCGTCCGGGCCGGCGGGAAGAGGCAAGTTCACTGGAAAGAACGGCAGCATACCAGTACCCGACGTGAAGTAAAGCAGACTCCTGTGGATAAAATGACAAAGCTCCAGGAATCGGTTGAGTCAGTCCCGAAATCAGATCAGGAACCACAGCATACAAAACCAAAGCATCCGGGATCAGAGTGTCCAAAGAAGACAAGACCAAAGCAGACAAAACCAAAGCAGCCAACACCAAAGCAAACGAGAGCAGCGAAGCCAAAACCAGAGCAGGCGATGGCTACTGAAACAGAAGATACGATAGTATTTGGGGTATTCAAAACAAGAAGAGTCATAACAGAAGAAGACGATCAAGAGACACAACAGTTGGAAACTATTTCGGCACCAGAAGCGAACATCCGGGGGCAGAAGACAGACGTCTGGGGACCGGAAATGCTCTCCCCCAAAGACGTGACCCTAACCGAGCAAATCTTTGACATGAAGCTGTATCTAAAGTCTGGTTCGGTATCAACCGCAAGTAACACCCCTTCCTCAATCCAGCCTCCTCTGGTTTACCTTTTACCTTGATGTGATGCTGACTTCGATGCCGAAAAGAGTATACCGACCCCAACGAGAACTACCAATGTCTCCGTGAGCAGTTGCAAACAGACTGGAGTTTCTGGTCCGTCCTCAAGAGAGACGAATACCACCAGGATTTTCTCGAATGGGTAGAATCGCGCCGGGGAGCACACCACTGGGAGAGGGTATTCAAGAGCGCAGGCCCGATAACGTGGGTTACGAGAAGGAAGATTTGGAACAAAGCCAGACGAGACTGTCTCGCTGAGATTAAAAGAGAGAGGGAGGACTATTTTATGCGAACAGCCAGGGAGTTGGAAAATCGGTTCCCAGGGGAGGCATGCCGATGGATCGGTGTTCGCAACGAGTGTGTAACCTATTGCTTTGTCAAGGCAGTTAACTTGAAGGTCTGTGACTAACTTTCGCATTTCGACAGTCATTTCCCAATCCCGAAATTTGGGCACATGAGTGAACACTCTAGGATGACAGTACGTACCGACAAGGAGCCTGACGAACACCCAAGCTGGGTGGAATGCTTCGATACGAATGTTCGCGGCCAAACCAGAAGGAAGCAAACATCAACATGCCGCGCCAAGGATTCAGATTTTAGGGGCTTCGTTCACCGAGTGACTCAACAAAGGGTTAGGGTTGTGGGCGATACAGTGCGACCACGCCATCAAGGGGCAGCATGACATCACAGACGGGCACACAGCTTACTGTCTCCTGCCATAGGCGGGGAGTGTCATACCACACCACCTCGGTCACAGTGCCTCTGACACACACATGTCACGCGTGGCCAAGGTCATTGGTGGATGGTCTGGAACGACACCTCCATGTTTATAAATCCTGGTGGCGATATCCGTACCCGTTTCTCAAACCATCTTTTTGACATCAACAATCACAGTGTTCACAAAGCGATCCAAACAATAGAGCCATCTCTTCAATTTCATTTACTATCAGTATAACGCGGCCTTACTTTACCTCTTACAATCTATCCAACTAAGTACAACGCGCAATCGACCAACCAACAAAGAAAACCACCAACAAGCAAACAAACAAACAGAGCAAATCCGCCAAAACAAAAGAAATGGGAAGAAGCTATAACAAGGCTCACAAAGCAACAAACGTCCAGGCGCCCAAGCAGTGGACCGACGTGACGGAGCACAAGTACTGCAAACAAGTCGACCTGGGACGCGAGGGAAAACCAAACAAGGCACAAAAGTGCGACCAGTGTTTGGCAATCAAGGCCCAGCAGGAGAAGCTCACGCAGATGGATACCTCGGCGCGGAGGCAGGAGAAGATGGGTTGGGGGTATGGGGAAGTTGAGGACTGGTGATGTTTTCCTTTGTAGTTTCTTTTGGAATGACGAGTACGTATAACCTCTATGGAGGACTTTACATGGCCAGAATACTCGCTCGGGACCCATGCAAACATGCGTGAGAGTCCTCTCTGGACCACGTCCATGGACGACCTATGGCGCCCCACCGCTGGGCCCTGCTGGCCACTTCATCACAAAACGCAGTGCCGACCGCGAGATGACCGAGCTCCTACTCAATCGTCTTACTCGTTCACTCGCTCGCTCGCTGGTTCTGGGAACAGCTGAACCTGCAGATTATTCGTTTTATACCGTCTCGACACCAGGTATCTGGGGGTCTTGTCGACTGTTTACTACGTCGTTGCATATATGCATTTACAATTGGAACAGATTCGTCGATCGGTTCTTTTTTCTTCTTCTTCTCCTCTTCACTGGTTTGGACCAGGAGCTGGGCCAGGTTTAGATGAGATTTTGGGGGTAAATAGATAGTCTCAGTATTCAGCCAAATTCAGATGGCCAAATACTGGGCTGAGGTCTGAGACTAGTAAATAGAGGGGGTTTCATTGCTCAACTCACGGGAGCTTGCCTCAGATCTTGCCGTCATCATAATAGACAGGCTTTCTTTTGTTCAGATTTGTTCAGATCTTTCTTGCTGAGTTGGGGTATTTCTTATATTGCAGTCACGGGAAGTGGGACTGGAGCTTTGCCATTTACATTCAGAGATACAATGAGAGACGGAGGTTGTCAGATTCGAGTCGTACTGTGGCATATACATGCACGATACATGACGACAGGGTAACGAGATCTAGTTGTTATTTGTTTCCAAGTATTAGATTCTATAGGCGCCTAATATACAGGCACCAGTCAGCCACCAGTCCTCTCATATTCATCTGACACCAGTCTTCTTATATACAGGTACTACTATTATTAGAATAGAGGTTTGCTAGAATAAATGCCTTAACTAGACTTAATAAATACCTTGATTAGAGTAGATGAGGCCTTGACTAGCTAGAATAAAGGCTTTGACCAGACGAGAATACATGCCTTGACTAGCTAGAAGACATACTTTAACTAGCTGGAATAAATGTCTTAAGTAGAGTAGATAAGAGGCCTTAACAAGTCGGAATAAATGCCATAATTAGCTGGAATAAAGACTTTAGCTAGTTAGAATAAATGTCGTAACTAGACGAGAATAGAGGCCTTAACGAGTTAGAATAAATGCCTTGCCTAGCTGGAATAAACACGTTGAGAAGGTGAATTGGACTAGTGCCTGGATATGAAAGTAGTGGTGCCTGAATATTAGGCGCCATTCTATATCCATACAAGCTTTGAACTTTCCAAGTCTAGCACTTTTCCAGGATCAGGTCTGCCTTGCTTCTCACCAGCCGAGGGTTTTCAACATGAATGCTATTCGGGGTCATCAGCTACCATCGCACCATCCAGTACTCTGGATGCCTTGCGTCTGAAAGGAAGGTACCCACATAGTAAGTACATCAGCCATTTCCTTTCTGTGGTACAGCGAAACATGACTTCCTTGCGCGAGGTCCGGTCGGGCCGGGCTCTGTCCGACGCCACGTTGCTCTATTATCCTTCTTTTGACCGGTCCTTTATAACCCAGAGAATTTACCTTGGTACTCGCAGAGCGCATCATCTCAACTGGACAGGCAGGTTCGGTAGCTCAGGGGTAGAGCTAACCCGCTGCATCCGGGTAGGTCGGACGTTCAAATCGTCTTCGAACCTTACTGTTTGTTGAGATGGGGTGTTCTGTATGTATATTTTTGTTTTTCTTTTGTTTTATATTCTCCCTTCTTGTAACTACACTGACCTCCAACTTGTTTGTACCTTATAAGCCAGAAAGTAGACTTCAATACTCATCTAAAAGCAAACGGGTAAAAGGTTCGGTAGCTCAGGGGTAGAGCAACCCGCTGCAGTCGGGTAGGTCGGACGTTCGAATTGTCTTCGAACCTTGCCTTTACGCGTTCCCTTTTGCTCGTCAGTACTAAAAACGCCTCCTAACAAGATGTGGCTGGCTCGTCCTTGTCAGGTCCGTTGAACTGGACTTGGGCAGCCCACTCTTGCCAGGAGGCGTTTTTAGCCCTGACGAGTAGTATTCCTCGTCCTTTTTACCCTTCCACTCAGTGGAGTGCTAAATGCATTCTCATAACAGGTTCACTTCAAGTCCTCGATCATAACAGGGTGGCAGTTGGTGATAGAGCTCTCGGGGCCCGACTACCCTAACAGCCTTGGATCAATTTACCCCATGATTTCATACCGTGTTATTCATGATATGTAACAAAAGCGAGAGAGAGAGAGAGATGACTAATTACCAGAAAGAAAGGGCCGAAAAGCAAAATGCCAGATGATGAATACAAGGAAAAACAGAAAAAAGGAAAAAAGACACCAAAAGGCTCGTCACTAGCAACACAGCTACCGTTACATGATTAGCACGACGTAAAGACTCGGCCGCCCTTCCTGGTATTAAGTCCTCCTCTTTCTGTACAGGCCCAACTCATATGCGTTGAATACATGTAACATGTAAGAACAGTTCTCTCCCATTTCGTTGGATCAATGCTGAGCATTGGGTATCTCATCAACGTAAATAATCCCGGTCCCTGCTCCCAACATCACCATTACCCCTTCTTGTCATCGACCGCACATTAGATCAGACCGTGTACCAACGTATCTTCGCTGCCTGCTTGGTATTCGAGAGCTTAATGCTCCCCCGAGGGATCAATCCCCGTCTCGCCATCCTCCAGCACAAAGACAACATACCGCCTCTTCTCTCCAGCATCTGGGCTCGAGGTCCTGGGAGACTTGGCAACTTCCTCATTCTCCTGCTCAGGTGCCATCTCCTCCTCGATCCTCAGGCCTACAGAGTCTGTCCCCGGGTTGGGCTTGTTCTTGACCAGTTCAAACGACCCGTCCAGACTGTTAATGCTGACGACATGATGTTTCCTCCGCTTCAGAAGCTCAGGCGAGACTTCCTCCTCGGGAAAGACCACGACGTGTCTTTTCTTTGACGCAGCTGGCTGTTCGCCTCCGCTCTCGGGAGCTGCAGGAGCAGGACCAGACTCGTCAATAACGTAGCGGTTCCCGGCGGCGAGGAGCGGATCAGTAGCCGGTGCGTGGGGCGCTTCTCTCATAAGGAAGCGCCGCTCGGTGTTGATGGATGATCCGCGGCTCGATCGTCTGCTTGCTGGGTCGCTTGTGTTGAATCCGGGAGTGATAGGTGACTCGAGAGATGCGCGGACCCGAACTCGAGAGATCTCGACGGTTTCTCCTCCTGCGTTGGTGCTCGCTATGGAGAAATTATCGGCGCTGAAGTGGCGGCGGTGGGTTTTCAAAGCTTTCGTATAGTCGGGACTTCGAGAGTCGTCTGTTCCTACAGTCCGCTCGGAAGAGTATCCACCTGCTGCCCCTCCTCCGACCTTATCGGAGCGGGCAGTGTTGGTAGCGGCGGCAGCGACCACAAGTGCATCACCAGATTCCTCGTCACCGGCAACAGATCGTGTGTTGGTCCTGAGCTGACGACTCCCGATCCATCCGTTGAGAAATAAGAGAACCAGAATGGCACTCAAGGCACTGAGTGTTGCTAGTAGTTGAGTCAGGGTCTCCCAGCCCCAGCCTGAGCGAACAGAGCCGGCCACCAGAGGACCAATCAAGATGCCCCAGGCGCTGGCAATGCTGGGAATACTGGTATTTTGCACGGCTGCTCGTGCGCGCTGCCGGGAGGTCATGGAAACGCCACGTGAAGAAGCGGGTGTGGCTGATCCAAAGAGGGGGCCCGCGGTGAAACCGATACCGAGAGATATGAGGCTAAGTGTTTCGAGTAGGTGAGGTTTAGTGGCGTTTATATCGTCCGACAAGTTACCGAGATACCAAAAGGCAGCAACACAGATCAAGAAACCGAGAGTTGCCAAGAACCGGGCGCTCCTCGGTGCCCGGTCGACGATGGAGCCAGTGACAAGACCGACGACTGTGGCCGGGACGAACAAATGGACAAGGAGGAACCCAGTCTTGGACACCGGCCAGTGGAAGGTTTTTCCGGCCCAGATGGGCAGGACGGACTGCAGAGCAGCCAGGAACAGAGTGACCATGATACAGCCGCCCAGTGCAATGATCGAGCCCGTGCTGTTTGGTGTCGATGCCGCTTCTTCTGTGTTGTCACGTTGTTGAGCAACCACGGTTCCATAACCGCTCCCCTCAGACCCCAGTAGACGACGTTGTTCGGTCCTGTTGCCAGCTCCGACGGCCTTACCGTAGAGCTTGAAACCAACCAGAACAACCAAAGCGGTGAGAGCGAGGGCGGCATAGGCATAGTTGAAGACGGTCGTGAGCCCTCCGAGATGGCTATATAACAGACTGCCAGCGGCCGGGCCCACAACCATGGCTACACCTTGAATAAAGGGGGTAGGCATCCACGAGAGTGGGTTTGCGTCACGGTTGATGCGAGCAGAGATGGACATGAGACCGGCACTAGCTCCAGTGATCAAGACGCCTGAGAAACCGTGAAGAGCCCGGGCGAGAACCAGCGAGGTGATGCCGTTTGCTATTTGCAGAAGCACAAACGAAGCTGCTGCAAGAACCAGTCCGGCAGACAAGCTGGCCCAGATAGAGGACCGCTTGTGCCAAAAGAGAGGAAGGAAGGGAGATGCTGCCACAAAGGCTCCTCCGTATGCTGCAATGAAGACAGAGGTCCATATTTGCACTGTGAAAGGGGTCAGTATACGTGCTCAAAGGCTGTAAGAATCAACAAGACGCATACCTTGTTCCTCATGAACACCAGTCTGCTCACGGATGATAGTAGGAACCAGAGGAATCAAGAGACCGGATAGAAGTGCGTCCGTAAAGGTGGCAAGTTTGGCCAAAACGACGAGGGCCTTTGTGGGATTCGTCGTCGGCGCCGGGGACTGACGCCGAGCCGGTACCGTCGTAGGTGAGACCGGATCGTCCATGTTCAAGTGGTCGACCGTTGGCCGCCGAGGATTTATTGTTCTGTGTTTGTCGCAGGATGCACTGTGAGATAAGGAAGCTGCCAAGCACCGCCTTCAACCCCTCTCTCCTGTTTGCTGCGGTGAGGGGAAGGTCGGTACCAAGGTAAAAAGACAGTAAAAGCTGAAAACAGAAATTGCGCTGATGGAGCGACCAGCGCGTTCGTCTCTCGTTACTGTAAATATGATTTTTTGTTCTTTTTCGTCAAGTCGTTGCTTCAACCTCCTGGGAGAGGGATCCTGTTCTTTGGCAAGAAACACCGGCACGAGTCGTAAATTTCGTTTCAAAACGCGTCCTTGTTACTCCTCATCCACGCGTTTCGTTAGCTTCGTCCCACTTCCCGGGCCAAGCTTCTTGCTTGTGGATTTTGCAAGGAAAAGATGTGCTTATAAAACAAAAGACTCCATCATAGCGTGCAAACCGAACGACAAATATCCAAACAACAGACGCTGCTGCGATGGGGAAACCAGGCAGGAAGGTGATAAAAGAGCAGGTCAACTCGACGAAGAAGGTACGCTGCGGTCCTATCTCTTGAAGATCTGCAATCGGGGTTCCGGCGCCCGCACAGAAAACATCCTGGCTCCACTGTCCAACCACAAGCCCGGCCTCGCCAATGTGCCCCACCTGAAATGTTCCGCTGAAGACGCCCTGATTGGCCAATTGAACGAGCAGTGGGACAGTCCCCAGAAGTCCATGATTGCCAAGACCATCAGGACGACCGCAATCTTGAAGCTATCCCCTGAACGTGCAATGCTCCCGAGGCCAGACCCTGTCACAAGCCCATGTTCACCTTGAGCCTCAAGGAGAGGGGGTGGCCCTGGTTCATGCCCCGAAGGAGCTGGTGGACCCTGATGGTAGCACTTTATGTAAGCGTCTCGTTGTCGGGCCAACAAGTTGGGAATGCCCTCTTGTCATTCAGGGGTAAGGGAAAGGGCGAAGGGCACTGGGATTGATCCGTTAATATTTTATAGCAGACAGATAGTCAACTTGCACCAACGCACAATACCTTGCTCGTACTTGATATGACGGGAAATCGTCCATTCTGGACATATGAAATGAGAATTGTAGGTTCCAGCAAATCTTTGATAATTCTCAGAGCAAAATGTTGCGGCATTGTCAAAATATGTATCACCTTGACGTGCTCGTCCCAGACGTCATGCTGGTGGAAAACCAGCCTCTAGCGTGCGCTGGGCCTCGGAACCTCTTAGCCCCATGACGACCGTTGACAAACTTTAACTTTCCGCTGCGTTTGTCTACCCATCGCAGCTTCCCTCCTTCGAGTGCGTCATATCTGCAACTACCTCGGCACCATACAGTCTTGTTCTATTCTTCCCAAGCCCAACCGCCATCAACAGCTCCCGCTCATCAGTACCATTCCATCATCACTCACCATGACAGCCAGTCAACAACCTTCGAAGCCCATCGATGCTAACTGGAACTTGGTCCAAGTCCTGCAGCTCGATAACCCCGAAACCTCAGGATGGACATGCAAAGGAAGGACCCAATCCGGCCGACGATGCCGACGCCTCCTGACACTCGCCAACCGCAACGCCATCGAAGCCATCCTGCCCAAGATATTGAGCACTCCATCAGCCGACGAAACCCGCGAACTGAATCTCCTCACACGCTGTTGTCTATGCTACGGCCACGATGATGACTCGACTGCCGAAACTGTTGCTCTTCAATGGGCCAAGGATCTTGAGAGCGCTCGGTCTGGGAACGCAGCTGAGCAGACCGATTCTCTCGCTTCCGGGGCCGTCCACCAACAACAACGATCTGCGGGCAAGAAAAAGCCGGCTACAGAGGAGCAAGAACAAGCCGACACCCAGAACAAAGACGCAGTGGATGAGGAAGTAGATACAGCAAATTCAGTGCCAGGTCCACGCCGAGGTTCAAGTTCTAGTCCAGATTTACCTTCGCCTCCGAAACTCAGTCTCCCGGTCAGAACATTGAGGCAGACATCACAACCGTCCAT